ACAATTTTGGGGGGGGGGCTGTTGGGTGATTAGAAAATCACCTTCAAATGTTTTTTTAGCCACCCCCTTCCCAAATAACCTGATTAACCACTTATGGTGCACTTATACAGTTATAATATTATTGTATTCATTTTTTTCACTGTTAAATATTGAAAACGATTTAATATAAATAACTATATATAAAATTTATAACTAATATTTTTGTAAGTTATTAATTTGTATTTAATTCAACACATCGTTATTGTTATTAAAAATATCGTAAATGTAGTGATTTATATGTTATATAATTTTAGCACCTCAAAATGTTAAGTATAATTGCACCCATGTATGATCTGAAAAAATAAAGGTTTTTAAGTAACGATTGTGGTGAATAATGCTTTTTGTATGCATTTGTATTTGTATGTTTTTTTTTTTTTTTTTACGGTTTAAATTATCGTTAAACGAAAAATAGCATGCAGACAAATCATCAAAATTCAGTATGTAAATCGACACGCAAAGGATTGCGTAAACAATTTTTTTTCGAAAGCGATTTCATACAATGATTTATCAACAATATGTACAATGTACATGTTTACTTTAGTGACTGATATATTTTTGTCAATATGAATTTTCTTCTTATCGAAATCGAAATTGAAAATAATGAAATCGTTTATTCCGTAAACTTTCCCGTTTTTCCGCGGTTCTTCCAAATTATTAAGAAAGCTACACAGAAAAACTAAAATAGAACTTTTCTGTGTACTAACTGTAGGAAATGTTTTTTTCAGAAAAAATAATAATTTTCAAGGATGGAAGGGGAGGTTCACTTGTCTTCCGTGAAAATAATATGAACTAATAATTTTTATAAAAAAAAGTTTAAACCTTCATTTAACATACATTTTGTTGTGTTTTTACCACCCTCCCCTCCCAAAAAAAAAAATAAAATATATTTATAATCACCCTTAACTATATTTGTATGTTTTTCAAATACCAATATTATAGTACCTTATTAGTAGTATAATATTGCTAAAGACTGAATAAGCAGACAATAAAAACTTCGATTATTATTCGATAGGTACGGCCGTTAAGTTAGTAACACGAGTTCAATATTTTCGATACTTCCATGACTTGCGAAATGTTGACAACATTTGGATAAAAATATTGAACTTAAGCCATCAACTTCACGGACATATAGAATCGGAATTAAATATAAGCATATATATAAGTACCTACCTATAATAAAATAATGTGTGGCACTGACCTTTAAAAATATTTCAATACAATCCGGGGGGAGGAGGGGATTTGACTATTTTTATTAATCCAAAATTTGTTTTTTTAGAAAAAAACATATGTTAATAAAACTAAGTGATTCTGCGCTATATTCATGTTCTCGAATGAAACCAAATAGATATAATAGAATAATAATATTTTGTGGAAATATTACACGTACTTATAATGAATAAAATAATCACAATTTCTAATAGAATAACTTAAACTTAAAATATTTTGAATCTTATGTATATCATTTTTTAAAAGTACATTGTTAAAATATTTATAACAGTATAAATTCTGAGCGTAGCGAGGAATCTATTGATTTTACTGGGATGGTTTTATTGGTATGATGTGTATTTTTTGTCTGTCAGCAAGTTTTCTAACTGCACAAATCTTACTCTAATTAAAAAATGACAAGAAACCTTTTTTGTTAAATTTTGGATCTCGTTGGTGAGTAAGTATAAAGTAATTTATATTTTAATTTAATATTTATTTTCCAAGCAGTTTTCATAATAATTGGTAATTACCAAAAATGCTTAAAATCAAAACGGACAAATATGCGTCATTCGATTTAATTATTTTAAATGTTTACGAATTATGTTTTTTTACCAGAAATCTTATTTTGATTTTTTTCAAATGATGTAGTTTGGATACGTGAAAATCTGAAAAAAGTTAACAATACTCGTAGGCTTGAGGAATGGAAAGTTGCACTTGAAGCAAATGGACTAAGGTTTAAAGATAAGTATAGAAGTAAAACAGAGTATATAGAGTATGAGTTTGGAGGAACAGATTAACAGGTTCTCGGAACCTAATAGCTAATAACAATAAACGGTGACGTAATAGGTGAGAGTTTTAAGTGTAAAGATATTTTATTGTTTTAAACTCGAGGTTTTTCTCGGGGATTCGAACCCTTCCATGTTCAAGGCCAAATGAAATCTTCTACACTTTTAGTTCGGAATGGTTTATACTTTAAGTTAACTCAGTAAATACGCTGTACGATAATATTAGGATAAAATTCTCTGTAGATACTCAAGTCACAAAAATGATTATAATATATTACATTATAACCAATGTTAGTACCTACAATGGACACATATATTGTATACACAATTAAGTAAGAAGCACTAAACGCCGTTCGTAGTATTTATGTTATATTTATTTATTTAAACTCTAGTGGTTGGATATGAAAATATCAAACACCACTAGTTAATTAGATTTGATATTATTAAATATTACCATTAATTTTAGCAACTCGTAAGCCAAAATAGTAATTAATGAGAATTATTCACAATATAAGTACGTTTGTTGAATTTAATGTTAAGTATGAGTCAATTTTCTTTATAGTTTTTATTTGTCCCTATTATTTTCGTACAACTGTACCCATCCCGTTATGAAAACATCCAATAGTAATTAGTACAATATGATCTAAGGTATCATGACAGTGTATTAATATCAAAACTAATGACTGGGAGTTGCCAACATTATATTATATTTTAGAGAACATTTATCGAGTTTGAGAGAGTCAAAGTCACCCATTTTTTAACACGGGAATATCCTGAGTTTTGATTATTATTGATTAATTATTAATGTATCATGTATCCAATATAATACAGTGGTTGCCGCTTATAGTGATCACATTCGTCCGAGAGTATTTTGATCACTATAAGCGGCGACTCAAAAACAGGTAAAAAATATCGGAAAAATAAATAATTTTACATGTATACATACATAATTTGTATACATTTTTTCAAAAAATTTGGTAATATTCGCTTGTCTTTTTTGTATAGATTTATCGGGATCCCGAAATTTTACTTTGCCAATTTAGCCACAAGTCGCGTCACTGGTTTGTATTGCATCCGTCGTACAATTTATTGTCAGTCTGTCAGTCATTATCAGTCATACACGTATACAGTTAGTCCTGAATGACAATCAACGACAATCTAATCCGCTGATTGAGTTTAATGATGTAGATTTCAAACAACCACTCAGATACTCACTAAATGGCATAAAAAAATGAAAATAAAATCTGTTTTTTTTTTTTCGGCACAAAGATGCCACAGTTTTAATAATTATCCATTGTTCAGGGCATGGTTATCTAACCGGGTGATCCATTTAAGTGGAACACTCATTATCTCGGAAAGAATTTTCGTAAACTAACTTCATTCGGAATTTGTTTCTAGAACATTTAAGAAACAAGTAGCTCTACAATTTTATATTTATGTTAATTTTTTGTTACCCAAATTTTTAGAGATAAAACCACTATCTACTTTTGATTTCCAAATGGCAACCTATATTACCTCTAAGAATAATATATTAAAAAAAAAAAAAAACCGAATTTGATTATCTTTATTATCTCCGAAGATATTGCAAGATATGATATATATATATATATATATATATATATATATATTTTCAGTTATATTATAGCATTGTTCGAATTCGGTCGTTTGTCTCGTAGTTGCTAGCTTATCTGTTTTTTTTTTTTTTATTAATTAAGAATTTTAATTATTGTCACTGTAGACTGTGGTCAATGACCTTTGCGATTTCTCGATTTGTTTATGATCTCTAATAATTGGAATAGTATAAGTTAAAATATAATCAATTTTAAATTAATTTTAAAATAGTTGTTATGTTCAATTTGTGTTGATGATATATATGATAATGACGAAATAAAGTGTTCTAAATGTATATTTACTTATATTTTGGATGTGATGGTCAAAGAAAAGCGAATTTTAGAAAATTGAGCCAACAAGCTAAAGAAAATTGGTCATGTTTAAAATATAAAAGTAGCAATTTAATGAAATTAATTCAAGTTAGTATCAACACATTGAATAGGTTTTTAGACTACACAACAAATTATTTTAATTTATTTTCAGAGTTTATTAATACATATAATATTGTAATGAAGCATATCTTAAATATTTTGGGTTGTAATACTAGAAATATAAATGCAAATATAGATGAACTTATACGTTTACTTGAAAACGAAAAGAATATTTATAAACCGGATTTTAAAGTATTAACTGAACCCTTACATGATACGCAATCTGTAATATATTTTTACCAGCCTATGACATATATTTCTTCAAAAAAAAAAAACCAAAATAATGGTGTTATAATTTTATATACAAATTGATATGATAGAGGCCGATATTCTTAAAGTAACTATAAACATTGTAAATAGTCGTATAATCTTATTCTGTATCTGCAGATATCCGTCCATGGATAGATTCTTGACCACTCTTAAGAATATATTATTAAATGAAAAAAAAAATGATAATAGCTCTATAGCAGTTATAGGTGACATGAACATAAACATTGTAGAGAAAAATTCAGTTCATAATGATTATTTAGATATATCATCTATGTGTGGTTTCAAATTATATATAAATGAATGTAATAGGACTTCTCTAAATTCTTTAAATTCACGTTTAGACCATATTTTTATTAAACACAATAAACTAATAGACACATTTGAGGCTGGAGCAATTCGAACGACTATTACAAATCATTAATCAACGGTAGTAGCAATTCCAATAGCTAAACATAATAAATGTATATATCAACACAAATTGGAAACGACTAACTTTAGTAATTTAAAAAATATTTTAAAGAGTGAACTATGGACAGATGTTTACAACAGCCATAATGTAAATAAATGTTGTGATATTTTTTATGACAAACTAAAAGATGCTATTTCTTCGGAAACTGTTTTTTAAAAATATAAGTTTTAAGGATAAAATAATAAAATAATGAATGCCATGCACGGCTACTGTGTTCGGCATGGCAAAAACAAAAAAACCGCTAAGTCAAAGAATATTCATACAATAAAAAATTATAAGATTACTACATCAAATATAGAAAAAATGTTAAGATTCACTAAAATTAATCTTTTTAAAACTACATTTAATAAAGTTCCATCAAGTCCAAAATTGACATGGAAATTAGTTAGAGAAATCAATGAAGTAAATCCACCGAAAGAAATGAAATCTGTATTAGTTGATAACAAGGTCGTAGGTGAACTACACGCGGTCTCAAATTATTTCGATCTGTTTTTCATGGGATTAGGGAAGAATACTTTAGAGAACAACACTAAAATTAATAATAATGCTCCTAAAGAGAATATAAGTGACCTCTCATTTGATGATATTTTTAATGTGAAAATTACAGAATCAAAGGTTTCAAAAATAATTAATAATTTTAAAGATGTAAACAGCCGCTGAGTTCAATAAAGTAACGATAAAACATATAGACTTACGTAACGTAAGTACTGAAAAATGTACGTTTCCTGGTAAATTCGAAATTACAGTAGTAATCTCATTATACGAAGGTGGTGATTATAAACACGTAAATAACTAAATAAAGGTGACGAAAAACAACAAAAATATAAAATTCTAGAGCAGTTTGTTTCGTAAATGTTCTAGAAAAAAAAATTCCCGAAATATTTTATGACTTTCCGAAATAATGAGTGTACGAACCCACACGTACGAGTAAGATAACCGCGATTCGGGATATCAAATATAAACGGTTTAGTTTACCCGGTAACCGCCGTTGTCGTCATTGTATTTTAGCCATTCAATTAATGTTTGCAGGCGTCTCTGTTAATATACAGCGCAGGCGTGCAAAAAATATGTTCGCAGTACGTTTGTGTAAACCGGCCCTTAATAACGTGACGTTTTGGTCCGCATACATTCGGGCGTTAAACATTTTAATTTCCGTCAACCTGTTGACGGGATATTTCACTTTCGAGTATAGGCGGAGTGCGTTGTGCCGGACCGTCGCTCGCGCGGCCGCGGCGTTTCGACGGCGGCCCCTCTCCCACCCACCCGCCGCTCGCCGCGGCCACGCTCTCCGGCCGAAACTCAAAAACCTACGCCGCGAATTCGCGCGTGCAACATAATCGCTCCGTGTTGTATTATTGTGCATCCGTGATAGCCGTCGGAGGGTACGTCGTAATATTAAGTTTACCGCTACCGTGCAGACGGTCCGTCACCCATCCACCGGCCTTTTTTTAAACGCGGCTACACGGCGAATTTAATATCGTGTGCATGCGTGCGCGCGTCCACGCAGTTTTATGGTATTAAGATTATCGGTCGAGGGGGGTCGCCGTCGCCGCGCGTCGCATTATAGTCGTAGTCGCCGGCCGCTACCGTCGTCACCGCCGCCGCCGCCGCCGCCGCCGCCGACGCCGTCGCCTCCGCGTGTAATCCCGCCGCCCGTTCCCGTTCGCCAGCGGCCGACGGGCGGACGGGCGGGCGAGGGACGGCGGAAACGCGCGACGGTCCCGCGTCGAATTTTTACGGTCCCTCTCGCTTTTAGCGATGACCGCCGTCGTCGGAGCGCGAGGGAAACGAAAACTATGAAATTCGCCCGTCCCCCTACGCGCGTATACCCGGCCGCGGTTAGATCTCTCTCGGCCGGTTTTCGCAAAACATTTTATACTCTACACACACACACACACACACACGTTATTATTATATTATATTATACGCTCGCGCCGCGTAGTTTTTACACAAAAATAACGCGTTTCCGTTTTTATTGATTTTTTTTTTTTCCCCCCCGGGCTATTATTACTTTTTTCTCCTCCTAAATTCCCCCTCCCCTGCCGCCGCCGCCGCCGCCCCATCCATCCTCCGCCGATGTGTCGCGCGCGTGCCCTTCGTCCGCCGCGACAACGGCCGCGCGCGGTACACTGCAATATATCATTTCGCGCGCCCCCCCGACGTCCGCGCGTCGAACGCGTTCATTACGTATGTATTTATGCACGTATATGTATAATACGCATGTCCGTATAAGTACTTCGATAAATTCCCGTTTTCGGTGCGAGACCGTTTTTCGCACACATACGTCATCGCCGCGCTCCGCACCGGTGCTGCAGGCTGCTGGCGGACGCGGCGTCCGTGCACCGCGAGAAGCGGCCGCTCTTCGATCGCAGCCGTACGCGGTTTAAGCGGAGGACGATGCGGGGCTCAACGCCAAAAGCCGAAATCGACAAAAACTTCGGCGATACGGATTATAAGCAGAGTTCGCATAGCTCAATAGCCCGATGAAACATCGGCAAGTGGGGGGGGGGAGTGGCGGAAATCCATTTAAAATACGCGATAAAGCCGCGAAACGAATACTATACCAAATTAATGGGGCTCGGAACTTATTGCACTTGAAATCCACAGAAAACCGCTTGAAAACGTCGATAAAGCTTTGAAAAAAAGCACTCGAAAAATCTTTAAAAAAAAAAAAAAAAAAAACGGTAGATGGGTTAAAATAGCTTTAAAATATTAAACTTAACCGAAATGTGTGGTTCTTATGGAAAATGAGGCTAAACTTGGTTGACTAAATAGACGGATTACAAAACGCGCAGAGTTTTCGACGACAGAACTTCCAAATGACGACTACAATATACGACACTCGTTTACCACTACTGTTTTGGCAAAAAATAAATGAACATATTTTAACATGTCGGTAGGCTGGTGGGTCGCTTGTGGGTATGGGTTATTTAAGGTTCGTTTCACAACTGACTGCACTGTTCTACACCGTTCTGTGATCATATTCTGTGTTCTATATTCCTATATTTGTACATTGGTTCGTACATAATAAAATTTTATCATTTAGCGAACAAATAAAATATGTTTTACCGTTTGATTATTTTTTCGTACGTTTAATCGATCACGGTTGGTACTATACGATTTACGCGGGCGTCCATTATTAGTGAGTAAAATTTGGAACGCGTATTTACTGTGAAACAAATTCAATTGGAATATTTTGAGGAATTGCGCGGCGTTAGTATTTATAGCAACATTATATTTAGAAACGTCTAAAAGCATTTTTGGCTTTTGGAAATTTTCCGAAGAAATGTCTAAAAAATAATTATTTTTTTCTCGTTATTTGTTATTTATTCAGTTTGAAAAAGAAATACATTTATCTGCGTATTCATTGAATCTTATTTTTCCCGTCGATATTCTCGGAATAATATTATTCGTCCAATACTCTCTTTAATGCTGTATAAAATATGATGTTATTGAACAGAGTCGAAAAAGCGTAAATTTAATAACGGTATAGGTGTAGGACGTAAGTATACTTATAAATAATTCGTAAAAAATAAAATATGCGCAACTAGCGTAAAACAGTTCTCGTTGAAAACGGTATTGCCATTTTATTAATTAAATGACATCCATACACCTAATCAACATTAATGGCTGTAACGGATATGATACTATTGTTATAGTGAACCCACGCGACTAAAAATAAATTACAATTAACGTAGAGTAATATATTGTATTTTATAGAGAAATGTGTAAATAATATGATAAATACGAACGAAAAAAAAAATCATCGGTTATTATTACTAGGGAACGGATATTTAGGTTAATGTAATTGCGTATTTTAGATTCTGAACGTAGCAAAAAAAGCTTATGGTTTTACAAAGTAGTTTATTTTTTTTATTATTTTTTTTATCCGTGGACAACTTTTCTACCGGAGCTCATGCTCCGGTTTTTAAGTGTAGTATCTTTTCTGAAAAGAAATAAATGTGAGGAGGTAATTTAAGGATGTAATTTTTCAATATTCTCAAGAGTTTTCCCTGAAAATGTGAAAAGCTGGAAAAAATTTGGGAAAACTGGGAAAACGTAAGAAAAACGGGAAAATTAGATCAGTATTAAACAAATATTATTAAAGGAAATACATAACACCTATTTAATTATTTTAGTATTATATAACATTTACATATATAGTTGTCAAAGCATCAATATTAACTGAACTCCGCTCAGAATCGCTTTTTCGTAATCAATGGCTTATATCGTTGCTCACAGGTATACATCTAATTACCTATAATAGGGGCTGTAGCCATTCCCATTATTCAAGGACGACTTTCTTATCTTATTATTTTTATTAGAATAAAATAGGTAGATGGGTTTTTAGAGTTTTATGTGAAATGTTCACGATTTAAATTATTTTTAATTAAAAATTACGGCAATTCCATTTTACTTATTGTTTTGCTGGTTTGTAATTATTTTTAAACATATTTTGACGGTTCGTCGTTTATACGGAGTTTTAACGGTTCGTTTAGACGTTATGAACATAATATTTTGACACCTAACTGTCGACGACATTCGATAATTTAAAAAGAAATTATTATAATACAATATTCGTGTTGTATAAAATTAACCGAAATTTAAGTTTCCCGGTCGTAATACTATTTTTATTTCGGATAGGTACATATATTTTATAATTAAACTTATTGTATTTTCCGTAAATTTATTATACCCGAATTGAAATTGTAATTGTTTTCTCTCTGTCCCTCATATATATATTGTTGTTTTTCGTATATATTTTATACTTCTGTGTTAATGCACATAATTTTGTATTTTAATTACATGTACCTAAATCCGCTCCCTAGTTATCACCCATGAATTATGATGTTCTTCGGGCTGCGTTTTTTTTTTTTTTTTGCTGGTCGGACGTGGAAACACACTTTATTTTTCTATAGAAGCATAGTTTCGCTTTTTCGTTTAAAAATTAATAAAAAAAAAAAAAAAGAGCTGAAAATGGGGACGCGCGTGTGACTATAGTAGGTGGAAAGTTGAGAAGGTAGGATACATAAAGTTATTTAATATATATCCGGAAACAACGATAAACCATTGCTAATGTTATAGAGCGGAATTCGGTTACATAACATTTTTTGAAAGTCCGTATTATTTACGATTTTCGTCAAAAATTCGATATTGTAACTCTTATACAAATAAATACTACATTAAAATCAATTTTATTTTGTTTTATCACAAAGTACAACTCGTAATGAACCTCCTGTTAAATTGTCAAGCTCCAATAAATTTATCTACAATTTGAACTACTAAACAAACATTATGTAAAAAATGCACAAAATTAAAACGTCTATAAATAACTCAAGAATAGAAATGTAAATATAAGTTTTCGATCAATATGTCAAGTCTATAAGATTATTTATAACTGAATTACAACAACGGAACAAAATTGAAAATAATAAAACTATGATTTTTGTAAGTTTTCTCATTCTTCAACGTTTTTTATTGGGCTTCGTTCAATTATTAAAAAAAAAAAAACTAAAATCAAAATCAAAAAACAACATCCATATTTATTAATAAGATTAAAAATTCTACAAAAATGGTCTCTTGTTGTTTTGCTAAGGAAAAAACGATTCTGAGCCGAATTCAGTTGATAATGTTGATTTGTCAATAATACAATATATAGT